TAAGATTTAAATGACTCTATTTCCACTGACCCTTCTGTTTTGCTCGCATCCATCTATATAAATAATACCGAAAATATAACTGAATTTTATGACATCTTTTTTCTCTCAGATTTTGCTTATACTCTTTCTCTCGAAAGTGATCGACAACTTTTTAGAAACTGTGCAATATAAGTCAGGGTCCATGGTCGGACGTCTGAAAATATGAAATTTCTCCTCATTCCTCAAATCTGCTTGTTCAACTGTTATTTTGAACAAAAATTCTTAGTGAATCGTGAATGAATATTATTAAAAACGTGATAATTCTCACTATTAAGATCCTAACGGATTATGATTCAATCTTGAAAAAATCTTAGATAAAATCATCAATTATCAAACGAACATTTCGTACAAAAATAAAATTCAAGCAATTAGTTACAAAATGATGACTATTATCGAAATCGAATACTTTAGGGTTTGAAGGTGGAGTCTGACGAAATACCTTAGGCTTTATAATTTTTATGATGAAAGAACACTGAAGTTTAAATGAGTTCGTATGTTTACCTTGTTTGTGTTTAAATGTTTTTTATTTTGCTCTTCACTCTACACTGATTCGCTATAACTTAGGGTATTCTACTTTATTCTCTAGTTTTTTCCGGCGTGAAGGAATAGACGCTGGTGTTTAGAAAAAGGATAAAGTAGACGACTGACCATTTGTCTGTTCAAAAAAAGACTAGAACCGTTGATGATTTTCTGCATGCAGAGAGAGATAGTTGTCTCTGATAATGATAAAATGAGGACTTTGCACACCACATATGAACGTTTAACTGAACTTTTTTGGACCACGTATATATTTTCGTTCTAGTTCACCAGTGAAGCTGAACACTCAAAATTTATATCGGCTAAACTTGATCAATTTTCATGGAAAACGATGGCTGGAGGATAATAAATGGAGCGGCTACATCTTACTCAATGAAACAGAATGTGAGAGATTGACTGAAATATACCCTCCAAAGAGTGTCTAAAATGTCATGAGTACTAATAGTAATATAGTAATAGTAATATATAAAATTGAGGTTTTGATATGACATTTAAATGCTCTAGTACCGACAATAGTAGAGCAGAAGTGACACTTTCAGAATTTCGAACTATAATTACGTGCACAGATTAAAACTTGATTGTATTGTTACTTAACGTTTTAATGCGATGCGAAAGCATTTACATTCTAGTAATCATCGTCGTCTTTTTGCTTCCTCGGACTTCACAATATATACGGCGTTTTACTCACTCATTTTTCTTGAGCACTATAAATTGTATTTAGAACATTCAAAAACAAGTTTAATGAGCGTGCGTTGAAAGTGTCGCCTATTTCCGAGGTTCATATATATTCCGTTTGTCTATTTTAAGCTGTCAAAAATCGATGAAAAAAGTGCTTCAACTTAGAGGTTATTTGTGAAGATAATTGATATGCAGTATGGACGCGATACAGCTTTCTGTACAAAAATCCTACAAAAGGTCTGTCATATATGAAAGTTATAATTCATACGAAACTTGTATTGCTGAGGTGATGCATTATTGATGATTGGATGTAAATATTAATTGATGTAGAGAATAACTTGCATTCAGTGTATCTGATGGGATATAATTTGATTTGTTAATAAATAGATAAATAAGTAATATATTTCTCTTTACTACGGAAACATTAGCGATCTTCAAACTGTAAAACACAATTTCACTCTTTTAGTGTTCTTTTCTCCTTTTTCATCAAGCTTTTTGGACTATTTCTATTTCAAATTTTATGCGTAAAAATAACTCTACTGTACATTCGCGCCACCACATTACCAACATAAGCATCACTTTCAAATCATTCTTCTGATTCATTCAATTTATAATTCTAAGAGACGAATCAGCTTTCTTTTGAATCGCATTCACAATTCATGCAAAGCACAGTTATATTCTAGCTCAATCTCTGGACATATTTTTATGAAAAAATGATTTTAAAAATATTATACTGCTATTCCCTTCATTAGCAGTGAATTCACACGTAGGCATGTTTGAAATTGATCAGATTATATCAAGGTTCTAGTCATACTGTCCGTGTTAGTATAGTGGTTAGTATCCCCGCTTGTCACGCGGGAAACCGGGGTTCGATTCCCCGACACGGAGTTTATTTTTTTATTCTTTAAGAAACATCATCTGTTCTGCAAAAACTCTCATATGCAGAATACTATATTTCTGGTATTGTATGATGTAAAATAGAAGGACAAGGTGAGTCAGATACTACACATTTTTTTTCCTGTACTCAGATTTGTTTAAACTTTGTAGACGCTTACAGTTCGACATAGGAGTATTTCATTATTACTCTTAAGTAGCTAACTTTTAAATTTAAATGAGCAATTTGATTTTAAGCTAAGGTTAAGGAAATTCAAATTTCAGCGGTTTTTCTTCTTTCGATTTTGATACATAGTTCGATAAAGCTCGTCGAGCTGCATCCGAATATGTGTGTTTTAACGTTTTGTTTCGGAAAAATTTCAAACCTTTAAAAAACAGCCTAAAAACAGAAAATAATCAAAAATCTCTATCTTAATCATCTTTGGGAAGTTTAAAATAATTTCTTTCTTTTTCTACGCCGAAAACTGCATCTACAAAAAAGTAGTTTAAAAGCCGCGGAGAGCGGGAAAGGTCCTCTTCCGCTCGCGCCCAAAATATAAAGTCTTTATAGATCTGGTTGAAACCAATATTTTTACGTGATTATACCCGTCATAAAATCATGAAAAAAGTTACGTATCCTCTTTTCCAGGTTCCTTTTCGTTCCTGAGATAATGTATTTTTAGTGGAACCTGTGCATTTTGCTTAGAATCGAGCAGCTTATTTCGCAATAAATTACTCAATTTTCACTCAAATTCAATGAAAATTTGGATTTATAGGTAGAAAACATCGTAGATTCTAATGAGAAGACTTTACCGATCTCCGTAAGGTTTCCAGAGGGTTATAAATAGGGAGTAAAGAGAGAGTAATTCGTGTGATAGATGGTACTCAGTAGGATGAGAAGAAGAAAAGGTTAAGAAGACAATAAGAAGAATATTAATAGTCTCTAAGGCAGCGTTTCCCAATTTATTTTAGCCCTGGAGCCCTTTCATAAAATTTAAACCTTTGCGGAACCCCAGTAGTATTTTGACATAATATTTGACAAAAATTATTTAAGACTACGTAATTTTTTTTACGTGGTGAAATTAATTTTTATCTTCTTATTTTTTTCTGGCGGAACCCTTGGTTTCACTTCACGAATAAACATCGATCTTGCCCCATTACCAGTGCGACTTTTTCTCTAGACCGAAATGTAAATTTTCAAATAAAAAAGAATCTTTTTAAGCCTTTGTTTTGTTGAAATAGGCGTACTGAGCGATATAAAGTTATGTTAAATCAAAAGAAAATCTTTTAGACAGAAAAAAAGTCTCATGTGCGATTTACATATCAAAATACTACTGTGACTGTCGATCGACCTTCGTAATCGTGCACTCGCTGAAATGTCTCACTCAATTATAGAAATGCATCGGTCTACTAACTTGTTGTATTTGTTATTTTGTCTGAACTTTTCCTCTTACCTTGCATATATCCAGTGCTAGCCCACAAACTCTATCATATTACAAGTAACTACAACTAATTTTAAATCAATGTAAATGGATTGAAAATATACCATTTTTAAAAAAGTTTTGTAGTAACGATTTTGGAAAATTGTATTAAAAACGTCTTTAATACTGTTGAAATAAAGTTTCGAAACATTAAGTCGATGCACACATCGATGGCTCCTCGTCTAACGACTGCGAGAGACGCTACCAATATATTGCTGACACTGTTGTTTCATTCGATCTTGAATGGCGATTTGTTTTGCATGATCCAAGCTACACACAACCGAGAAAGTAACAAAGAGACATTACCTTTCATAGACGTATTATTACAAAACCAGATCAAGGATTTCATTCTCAAGTTTATCATAAATCAGCAAACACAGAATGACAGTTTCGTCCCCGAATCATACAAAAAAAATACTATCTCGTTGATGATCTGTTGGGCTGTCAAAAATCTGCTTGACATATGGACTACTAAAATGTAGCAGACCGGCTACAAGTCAATCCTATCTGACATAAAATATGAGAGTTACTTACGATAAGACGATGAAGATCATCGATGAATTCAACGGAAAGATAAGATTTCCGATAACTTAAATATGTGTTGATCTATGAAGCAACTTGCCCTGTTTGTGAAGACAAATATATCGGGACTATTTCAACGACTGATCATATAATAATATCAAAAAATTAAGATTTTAACAACGAAACAATAAAAATATCGGCTCCTCACAACAGAATTATTGCTCGTTCATGCGATAAAACCAGAATTGACACTGACTGCCCGATAATATCATATGTGTTATCTAATGGCATTGAAAAAAATTTAGTATAGAGATGGTGGTTCAGTCCCGATTCGTCGACACGTTAATTGATTTTCCTGTTTCATCGACACTTTATAGCGTCGGCGACTCACAAAAGTCTTTCATTCTCCTCCCCCTCAAAATGTTGTCGACGAATTAGGAAAAAAAATTAATGAGTCGACAAAACGGGAATACATCGAAATTGAACATGGATAAATATTCAGTGCCACCATCAAATTGACAGGGCCATACGTAATGCCATAATCGTTAATGTTACCTAGGTTTTCTTTTAATATGATATTGACCAAAGACACACAAAGAAGATACTGTCCACGTTTCTTACTATAGTCACTGTTGATAGTAGTGTGATTGATGATGACCGGTTAATGTCGAAATATTACGAATATTATTTTTTGTAAAAAAATTATTGATCGTACACAACGACAATTTTGAACGTTTGTTTACTGTTCCATATATGTATATATGTATATTAGACACCAAAAAGTGCAAGAAAACGCTAAAACAAGACCTCATAACAATTTATAAAAAAAAAAGAGAAATATACAGAAACTCGCTTATATAAAAAATTCATCTAAAATAGTTTAGCTAATTTTTTCAATTCTTTTTGTCGCCATAATGGCTTTGACATATAGTCTTTAAATGACATTTTAAATACTTTCTGAAACTCATCATTATTAAGATGAACCTAAAATAAAGTAATGTATGCAAGAATACTCTGAACACAAAAAATGATGAAATTTTCTCTATGTACCTCACGAAATTCTGGATTAACATCTTCTGGTAATTCTTCAACGGATTTTATTAATATATCATAGGAATATTTTTTTGCAGTTAACGGATTTATATTATTCAATTTCTAAACAAACAAAAAAAATTGTAATCCTTTGTTGCATAGAATAAAAATAATAACGTTTACTTACGGTTTTTTCTCGTACAAGTTCAGCACAGACATCCGGATTATTTTCTGAATGAAGTTTTGTTTTTGTTGCTTCATAAGAAGATTTTGTCTAAAAAGTAGAAAATAGATAATTTGGCAAAGAGATATATGTTTCTTCATTTACATTCCAAAATTCACGATCCCAATATCCAAAAAATCCTGTAAAATGTAGAGGTTCAAGACTTTGTTTTGTTTTTATTATTGGTATATCTGGATCACGATGACTGGGATCAGTTTTTAGATAATCAATGGCTATTTTTTCAGCATTACGTTTTTCAGTTTTATTTGAATCTATAAATAAGACAAACAATACAAGAATAATAAATAATTTTCAGACATTTTAGTGTACTCGCTTTTTCCAATCCATAGAAAAATTGTATTCCAAGCATCAAGCAACATAACATCGTCTTCATCTAAGTCAGTCTAAACAAAAAAGGTATATGCTTTCTGCTTTAGAAATATTTATTCACCATCTATCATAGATTTGAGAAAAAAGTCCAACAAAAGATACTACAAAGATTCTCATACATAAAAGTGATTAGTTTTTTACATCTTGTACGAGCCGAATGATTGTAGAAATCATAGATTAATTATTCTTTCTACTATTCGCATACAATTTGTATATAAAAAACGCTGTTTTTTGCAATGGAACAGTAAAGCTAAGAGAATGTATAAAAAATTCTACAAGAGACGTTAGAAAAATATACTTATTCTAGACTACTATAGATGTTATTGAGCAAGGTATCACGTGTTCATTCATTAGTACAGTGTTCTCTTCAATCTGATATCTTATTATCATTACGTGTGCAAGTATATATAATAACACCGTGTGTGTGTGTGTGTACTTGTATTTTGGTACATAATCGAAAAATCATAAACGAATGGCTGATGAAAAATTACTAATAGCAATAATTCTCTCAATATTAATTCCACCATTAGGTATTATGTATGTAAACGATTGGATATGTGAGAAAAATGCAATTATTTGTTTAATATTAACATTACTCTTTTATTTACCGGGACAAATTTATAGTCTCTTATATGTCACAGGTGTGTTAAAACTTTAAATAAATGATGATGGAATCATTAGATCAACTAAAATACAAAACAATATTATGAATATTTATCATTTCTGATTTTGTTGTTTTTCAAGTATATAGATTTTTATGAAATGTTACTAGCGAATATCGCAAGAGAAAATCAAATTTTTTTTGTGCTATGAACATTCACTCAACTATTTCTCGGGTGTTTCCACCGGTTTGGTTGGTCAGCTTAAAACAAGGTTACTAGAATAAACCATTTAATTCCGAGAATAAAACTCCACCATAACGATACTAGTAATTAATAACTTAATATTGACAAGGAATCAAAAGCGAATGTTCTCGTTTAATCCACACAACTGTATGCTTTGCTTTACACACACAAAACTTTCAAATAGAAAAGGTAGCGGTTGAACAGCAGGATCATACGAAAATATTTCATGATAAATAAGCCATTTCATAACTGAAGTTGTCACCGAAATAAATCTTTTGTCTCGTAGTATCAATTATAGTCTCAACTACTGCAAAAAGCGCATCAAGCGCCCACGAAAAATAAACTAAGTCGATGGTGGAAACAAAGACGCAAAATTTCGATTAAGATTTTTTTTATACAAATCTTACTCATTTATTAAGATGCAGTTTGATGCGCTGATTTCGCATGTACCCAACCAAAGTTGACCAGCTGTTTATGGTCCTGACTGAAACCAAAAATTTTGGAAAAAGATAGTCGACACGTTGAACATTCTCACCCACTATTTGGAATTAAGAAATGCACACTTTCATTTTTTACCTGTGTTGTCATATAAAGACTTCTATTTTTCAAAATAAGATTAGTTTTTCAGTCATATGTAAAAATTGAATTTTATCAACTCTGCGATTTCTATGCTGCTGATCTATACTGTTAGACTTTAGACTAATAAATATACCTGAGTAAAATTGGGTATTTCGATGGCTGTCATTTTTCCATTAGCATTTGATATTTCGTACAGTCGAATCGGATAATTTTCAAATATTTGTGGTTGTTGCTGAAAACGTTTTTCGGACGGATATACATCTTTACCACCATTGAAATAATTCCAAAAATCATCTTTTTCTTGACCTTCGAATACCATTATCGGATCACTGAATAAAAAATAAAATATTGCCTGTTATCTTCAACAGATAAAACAGAAATACAGACGATTAAAATTATATTTTTTCATTACATGCCCGTCTATATTAGCTGTTTTTCGTCTGACTAATTCAGAAAAAAATACTATGAGAAATACATACGTTGTTCTTGGCCTGGCTACAATTTTAGACATTTCTCTTTCATCACCAGTTGAACCTTTCCCGCACCAGATGTACACATTCGTTTTTGTGAATAAAACAAAACAATCGCTCGAATTCAGCGACGACGCACGTAAATCAACCTGAAAAGGCAATAAGTTACAAGGGTCAAATCTTCTGGTGAATGGCATTATAGTATTTTTATCGACTGTTTGAAGAGATGACTCTTTTGAAGAAATTAAACTTAACTTGAACTTGTATTTTTAACGTTTTAGTGATGCAAGAACGATTCGTCTGCCTAAAACCTTAACCACGCAGTTCATCGAGTAAGTGCCACAAGAACCGTTTCGGGGCATCGAAACTTGGGACGGTTTTCATTGTTGTCGTGTCCCGGTAAACATCTGTAAGCAGACACCTCACCACTGAATATTACGTTTCCTATACTGCTAAAACAAAGCATCAAAATGTTCCCGATATAAAATAGTATAAATCAAAGAAAGTTTTGATGATTCGACGTATATCGTCTCAAATTTTCTGAGCAATCGGTACACATATATTGATACTGTAGAGTGGTGGTAAGAATTGTTTTCTTGCATGGTAGCTTGGACTATGTGGCTCTATTTCTAATACAGTGGTGTAATGATATGTTGTTATTGTCACATATAATTACATTATGGCATTTCGTTCTCTGTATTTTTGTATAGGGAACATTTTGATGTTTTTGTTTTAGTAGTATAGGAAAACTAATATGCAGTAGTGAAATGACTGAGACACCACAACAATAAAAACCGTCCCAAGTTTCACTGTCTCGAAACGATTGTTGTAGCACTTGCGTGATGAACTGCATGGTAAGTTAAGGTTTTAGGCGTGCGAATAGTTCTTGTATCGCTAAAGCGGTAAAGAATCTATGTTATTTCATAACTCTTTTTGTTTCGATTAAGAATAATTTATTTTAATTTTAACGTTTCGATCTCGATAAGATCATCAAAAGGAGATTTTTCTAAGGATATAACTGGTATACTATTGTACACTATTCAATATAAAAGAAAAAAACTCTACTTAGCCATAGATACATCTGTTAACAGTGTTTTGACTGGCTAGAAACACAAACTACCTTCATTATCTTCAATTCAATATACACTTTTATTGTAAACTAGCTGACCGTGACAATAGTATCCCACTATGAAAACATTATAAACTACTGAGTCTTTTTCCTTCTTGGATCCTACTACATATAAAGAATCTGTTCTGATAATTGTGTGAACAAATACAATTTATTCCTTACCTGTACAGCTTTCGTATCATATTTACTTAGCCCTCGAACTTGCAATAAATAGGTATCATCAATGTTCTCATTATCTTCTTGCAGATTTCTGAATCCACTGCGTTTACCATGCTAAAATGTAATAAATAACATTTCATACGATAGTACAGACAGTTATTTTAACAATAAATTGATTATATTCTAATCTTGAAGTACATTCCCTCGAATTTTTTCCATTATATAACCAAATTACACTAAACCAGCTTACTTTGAACACAATCATATGTCCATGAAACATTGCCATGAAATGAGTCGGCTCTTTGTCTTGTACCACACGTATAATTGTTGCTGTTCCATCCAATTTCTTATCTAATTCAATAGCTCCCAGAGCGGCAGCACCTTGTTCATCTTGAGTACAATGTTGACCCTGCAGTCAATAAATAAAATTTAATTCTATCACTTAAAATAGCAAATATTTTCCTACCAGCCAGTAATAGATTAGTGTATAATTTTTCATGTCATGCTGATATGTATATTGAATAACAAAGGAGTCACCAGAAAAAAATGTGCCATACATATTTTTAGGATAAACAATCATTCTAAAATCTTCCATACGATATATTTCTTTTTCGCCGGTACCATCGTCGGGCATTTGAGTTTTAGATGCAATTTGTGGATTCATTGTACTAGCGTCAAATTGAGTTGAAACGATTTTAACTGAAATTAAAACATAGCAACAGAAGCGATTGACTGAAATATGAGATTAATTAAGTAATTGATTACCTCCAGCGTACGAAGTAGCACGCAACTACTCTGTTAGGATAGAATCTAACAGCGAGTTAATAATAGTCATATCAGCAAAACTTATAGTGAGGTTATGAGTTTATCGATACATAACAGTAAGAATAAGGAATATGCCGTATATATGAAACCAGCAGAAAGCATAGATTAACTACAGCGCCGTATTCATGGAATCTTGATCAACCAGAAACATTAACTGACATTTCTAACCGTTAAAGCTTGGACTACTGGTAGGAATTATGCGTCCAGTTGGTTCCAGAAAATCATCGTTACTAGCAGCTGTTTTAGGTGAAATGAATCTATTAAAAGGTACAAATTAAATATCACAAACTACTTGGATTATTGCTGGTACAATACGTGAGAATATATCGTTTGGAAATCGATTGAATGAAGCAAAGTATAAAAAAGTACTCAAAGCATGCTGTTTGATTTCTGATTTACGTTTACTTCAAAACAGGAGATTTAACTATAATCGGAGAAAAGGGGATAATAACATAGATAAGAAGTAGAGGATACATGTTAATTCAGTTACGAAGAAGACAGCTAGCGCAAATTCGTAAGTATGGCTAAATGACCGTTAATGAGCACGTGCCATATATCGCTATATATGAAATTAGAAAAGTTTTGATCACTTTAAGCATGTGCTGCTGTGTATGTCTTCACTAGGTATGTTACAAACCCAAACCCAAACCCAAGCGACTTGGGTGTATTGGGTTTGGGTTTGGGTACCCAAGTCTGAGACTTGGGTTTGGGTTTGGGTACCCAAGTCTGAGACTTGGGTTTGGGTCAGTTGCCAAAGTACATTAATATTCTTCTTCAATAAAACTTAGCAGTAGTAGCTTACGCTCTTCTGCCATACTATTCATTTATCTTTTTCTCTT